ATGCACCGTACGTATTCACTATCAGTGAATTTTTATAGAAACTAACAATTTCCCTACTAAAGATGGTGAGATGGAGAACTGGGTCAATGAGAAATCAAATCTTGTTTTCATGTTAGTATTTCACTTCGGCATTGATCGGGAATGTGTACTGACATATTTTGAAACAGCGGAGATTCATGTCATCCAATGCTTCCATATCTTGCGCAGGGCGCCAACTCGTCGCTAGAGGATGGTGCAGTTTTGGGTCTTTTGCTAGGACACATGACCAATAAAGCACAACTACCACGCATTCTGCGCCTCTATGAAAGCCTACGGAAGTCACGAGGTGAGGCTATTGTGAGGGAAACATTCAAACAGGTACGCGGGTCTATCTTTAATATTAGCATCAGAATCTGCTTGTCAGGGAAATGATTTAACACGATACAGAGACATGACTTCCACTTGCAAGATGGTGAAGAACAGCAGAAACGAGATGAGATTTTTACCTCGCAGCTTGGAAAAAAGATTCAAGGCGCATTTCCCAGTCGCTGGTGAGTTAATTCCTTTCAAAGATTTGGTATAGGGTCTAACGAAATTGAACAGGACATGTCCCGAAGTACAACCCTGGCTGTATGGCTACGATGCTATCAAGGAGGTCGAGAAGGCAGTGGCTCGGAATCCAGATCTATTCGCACAGCCCACGTCTAGCAAGTCTTTCTGCTCGATTTTGTAAACACTGTTTGATACCGAATAGAATGTTGAGTATATGATAAATTGGAATATCACAAAGCTATTTACTTATTTTTATATGGCGAGAGGCGAGTGTCTTGTATGTACATCGTAGCCGTCCGTCTCCCTTAAATCCGACTCTTCATGAAGTCAAAGGCTTCGGCCTTCGCGTCCAACAAAGGCGTGAAGTCATCTCCCTCACATATCTTGATGGCCTTTTGATAAGCCGGGCGCTCTGCAACACGCTTGAGATAGGCAAGGATATTCTTATGCTTCTCCGTGTCGTATTCCACAGGGCAAAATCCACGCATGGTCGTCAAGGTAAAGAAGGACATGATATCCGCGGCCGTTAAGTCTTTTCCAGCAAGGTAAGCGCCAGTCTCGGCAAGTCGAGAATCGATGCGCGCGAGTAGAAGGTCCCATTTCTTAAGCGTGATGGCCACAACTGGAGAGTTGGGGTCCGCTGTCGGGCCACGGGTCATCAGCACGCGAAATAGGGTGGGTTGAAGACTGCCATTGGATAAGTGGAACCACTCCAGGTAATGAGGGTAGTCTGCGCCATCCTTGGGCGTACGGGCTAAACGGCCGTTGCCATAAACAGCGATAATGTAGTCCACAATGGCGCCCGACTCGGCTAAAACTACCCGCGAGTTGGTTGCGGGTGAGGGGTCATCTTCCATGACTGGGGCGGTGCCGGCAGGATGTAAATCTTTCAGAGACTGCGGGGCAAAGACAGGATCGCGCTTATGGAAAACATAATTATAGTCCAGGCCAAGTTCTTCGGCCAGCCAGATTATGCGCTCGGATTGAGAACGTCCCAGATGGTGTAAGGTGAGAGGCATTGCGGCAGTAGGGCAAGAAATCTTCTATGGTGTTGGTGAACGAGAGATGAGAATTCAGAATTTAAAGACTCCTCTGGGGAATGCTCCACCTTAAGAACTAAAGATTAGGTAGAAAGACGCGACCGAAGATCGCAAGTACTACTACTACTAGTTAGTAGTATTGTATGACATCAGCTTCCACCGAAAGATGCGAAGGATGCGAACGCGTCCGCAGTCCGGATACCTCGGTGAGCGATCCACTTTCCACACATTAATGCGCGAATGCTTATTCGAAAATGCATAAAAAAAATGGAGATAACGAGAGCGAGAGCGAGAAATTGGCAAGGCTGGCCGCGAACCGGATTTAACTCTCTTCTAGCTCCGTTGTTTCCAGAGCTCACTCACATCGCCGATAGGCACTGACACTGCTTAGTCGGAAAAATTATCCTTTGAATCGCATCGTTTGGCGACTATGTACAGGAGAGACTTCTTTATATACAACAATTTGATGTAGACACTCAAAACCAATTACCCATCCAACATCGGTAGGCCTCCAATATCATCGAACAGCCTCGCAATCCCATCAAACGAATAATCTGGGAACCCGAAGCCGTATGCCCACTCGGGAATTTCAAATCCAGGGGGTCCAGCCCCTACTTCGGAAGCAGCTATATCATCTCCTCCTTCGACACCAGTGGCTGACTGTTGTGCTCCAGATGCCCTGAAGTCTCTCAGGTATTGCCGAACGATTTCCACGGACTTTCGGGCAACAACGGACTCGTCCATAGCTTCTAGTATCTCGACCCCCATTTCCACAGAGCGTAGGAGGGGCATGGTCTCGGCGCACATTCCGAGTTTCGACATCGGGAGCAACAGAGTTGAAGTAGCAAACATTACGTAAGTCGTGTTATACCACCTAGATAATCAGTATGTGGAACGATATTGACTTCCAAGGTTGTTATGATGAAACGTACCAGCATCGGAAGAACGTATGCACTCGATAAATATCGTGAATGACCTCGATGGTCTTCATAGCAGCCTCGAGACATTTGTTGATCGTTTCCTCCAACTCGGTCGGGGTGTGTCGTAATTTTCGCGTGAAGTGGCTCAAAAAGGGCCGAAATAGAAGCATCTTGACATTATAGTAGCCTGGAAAAAAGTGAAAAATCAGCAAAGAGTTTTTATTTCAGGGCGAATATTAGACTCACGTATTCCTAGGACGAGGCGTTGCCTTCTGGCCCATTTGGGGTCCCGCAGAGCACTGCGAGATTGCCTATAGGCACCAATATCCGGTTTGATTTTCTCTGGGAGTCTAGCAAGCCATCGATCTATCTCCATTTCAATCTGAAGGGCCAGTTGTAGCTTTTCCTGTAGTGTTATGCGGGAGTGGTAAATTTGGACAGATACCCGTCGGATGATCTGGGCAAAGTCGATCATCCAGGGGATGATGGCATATTCCGAGTCGTCTCGATCCGGAATGGCTCTATTATGATATTCGTCCATCCCCAGGGTATCAGGTCGTCCAGTTGAAAAACTCATCTCTCTAGATAGAGGGTTAGTCGTCGCGAACGGGCCGTTGGTGGTTTGAGGAGGGAAGCTTACATTTCCAGCGAAAATATACCCCTAGAAGAAGGTCCGTTAGTCAAGTTATGAGACAATCAAAGGAAGATTCACGTACCACCAAGTCTTCGAGATCCAGCTCGAGCGTTGATCCTTTGGAGATGGGACCTCTCTATTAAACCCAGCAGAAAGACAAGTGCGAACTGCGAGTCCGAGATACATATACGCCACTAAACCCATCAGTACTTATCTAGTTCAAGGTTACGGAAATGTCAGTCAGTACTCACAGTTTGGGTTCAGTTCATTCTGACAGATTTTTGCCTGGGGTACTTTAGCAAGGTATCTAGATGACGGGCCTTGGGTTTACGCATACCATGAAGTAGAGGCATTGAACTGTCTCTAGGTCATTCGAGAACCGCAGATAGTTCAAGTACGCCTGTGCTTCACTGAATAGCTTTCGGCTCCATTCAAAACGGCCCATTCCAGCAATCTTATCCTCGTCCCATACGCGTACTAATGACCCGAAGGAAAGGACACTTAGGTATAGAGCAACGAAGCTGGGATCGGGCGAGTGCGCCCGATTGAACCAAAGATTATGGGCGCGGAGTAAAAATTCATCTTTGTCGATGAATGGATGAATGAAATGAATGTTCTCGAAATATCCATTCATGAATACATGAGCCTGTTCAAAATAATAATTCTGGCTCTCGACCGATGTTGGCTGTCCAGTTGTGGAAGGAGAAAAGCTGGGGTTATGCAGCGTTGAAATCAACGAGAAATCTGCAGCAGGCGGGTACCTTTCCTGGGGAGGTTTAGGGTCGCGTGTCTTTGATAGATGACCAATGATTGCTGCCGATGATGTGCTTCCATGAAACTCGATTCCATTCGTATGGTGATTGAATTCATTGATCTCGTCGTCGGCGCTCTCGGACTCCTCATGTACATCGCTCGGTAACTTGGCCTGATCCTGTGGTGTCGAGCCTGGCCGTGGCAAAGAACACGGAGTTGTTTCGATGGCACCTTGGGCTATCGGTTGAACTATTGACTTGGAGGGCTGTGGGGATCTTCCGAGCTGCGCTTCGGCTGTGCGCAGCTTGGAGGCCAACTCTTCCACTTTCTTTTCAAGGTCAACGACATAGCTAAAGTTGGCGTTAGTCGGGTTTCAATTTGCGATCCTGCGGGGATTGGATTCTTCAAAGTATGAAGCAGTGACAATCGAACATACGTTGCAGACCGGTTGCTCTCACGCTCTCGGTAAGTCCCCTGATACACACAATCCAGTTGACTCTCTAGAAGAGGGAGTTAGTCTATCCCGACGGGAACTTTCCGGGAGCTTTATAACCCACTTTTACAATGTAGACACGGGTATTGCTCGTCGCACTTATACTTCTTCGTTCTGCAACGGTCGCAAGCCTGGGCTGCGCGTGGCCGTTTAGCCCGCTTGGGAGTCGGCTCATCCACCATCGATGTGAGCGGACTCTGATGTGTTTGCATTATCCAGGCATGATCCGCTTGAGAGGGGGATCTGAGATCTGGAGTCTGGAGTCTGGGGTATACTGGCGCTAGAAGATGCAGATGATAACGAACGCTGCTCGTCCGGAATTTCCGGATTTTTGGCTCTTCCTAAGACCGCCACGTGATGCCGCACGGTGGCGTTATTTCCGGGGACCAATCACGAATGTTGGCGGCACAAACTTAATATTTCTAAAGGTTCCCATCAATTGCTGTTATAAACGATACTCTAAGTGTCTGGCAAATCGCTCGGCAGATCTGCAAAGCGGAGTTCACCGTTGGGCAGGTTCCTGGGATACTGCAATTGGCTTATTTGCGTCAATTCGTGATATGCATAGCTATGATCAGAAACTAGTATATGTACTATCTACATCGAAAGAAACTCCTCCAATTTGCCCATTATGAGAGGGTAATATTGAGGTTCTCAGCTGCAGTGGCTAATTGGGATGCATCCCATTCAGCAGCCTGTTCTGGCAGAACAAATTGTTCGATAGACTTGCCGAGCTGGTGGATCAAGGATTCGATTCCATCGCCATCGGAGAACGAGTGGACCTTAACGTACTTGCTCTCGAACCCAAGTGAGAAGGCCTGGCCAGCAGGAATAACAACCGTCTCGCCTTCTCGGAAGAGAGTCTCGCCCGAACCTTCTAGGCTGACTTTCAGAGTTCCCTCCATGACACACAGACAATGGTCCACGGACTTGAATGTCATGTACTTGGCGAAGACTGTTTCGCCGTATTCCTTGGATGACTCAATGCTTGAGATAGCGCACACTCCGTCGCTCTGTTTGGTGGTAACGAATGGCCGAGACATCACTCCACCTAGCATCCATCGGGGACCTGTGTTGGCGCGCAGGAAATACCCCTCGTTGCCCTGTGGCAGCTTCTCGTCCTCCTTTGTCCAGTCACTGACCTCTGGTGGGACATAGTTGGGTTGGAAGACAACATCGAACTTCCCCTTCGCGGCCATAACTTTAGGGATCAAAATGGACTTGAGATCACGGTTGTCTGTCTCGGGTACCAGGATTCCCTCGTAGGGCTCCGACACATAGCGGAAGAAGTCCACCCAGTCTCCGGGGGTAATCAAGCCTTGGATCTCGGTGTGGGGGCCGATCATCTCGGGGTTGTGAACAACGGTCTATGAAGCTTATCATGAGTTAAAATTCAATAGGTTTGGGAGGTCAATTCATACCGGAGGAACATATGCAAAGTCACCAGGAGCCATGATACGGCACTGGTCTCCGTTCCACAGCTTCAGATATCCTTTCGTGACCAAGAAGACATCATGTGCCTTATTATGATAGTGAAAGCCCGGGGCATCCGAGAGAGTAGCACCACTCTGGAAGACGGCCATCAGGCCCCCGGTCTGCTTGGAGGAAGTCAAAATGCGGAAGACGCCTTTGCTTCCAGGGATAGTAATGCGCTCACCCTCCAGCTGAGGGATAGCGTAGGGAACCCGCGACTCCGGGGGCTGGTTGGAGAAAGGAAGCGACATTGTGTAGGTATTTTTGGGGGGTATGCGAATGGAAATCTGGGGGAGAATCCTGAAGTTTTAAACTCGCATTGGGAGCTGTTCGGCATGCGGGGGACTGGAAGCCGAGGGCGGAGAAGCCGTAGCAGTCGGAAGATCCGAGTAGGCCAGCACATTTGCTGCGGGCCGACATGTACCTTTCTTCATGATCAATTGTGATTCGCTGTGATTCCTTTTTCTCCCCTTGTTGGCCCCGCGGGGCTCGGTGTTTATGAAGTAGGGCTTGTCTCGAGTCTACACGGCCATGAGGGGTATTTTGGGCCAGCATTTTAACCATTTCTAGATCATGCCACTGTAAAGCAGGGCAACCAATTACTCTGTACAAATTGAAATTGAAATTGAGCTGGGAATTGTGGGCAGATGTTTCCCACTCTTGTTCCCCACGAAAGTGGCCGATGGCGGGGGACTTGAACTTCCCCGCGATGTCTTATACTTCTCAGTGATACTAGTACTAGTAGCATTGCATAAATATCATCTCAGAGGCTCCCCGTTGCACCGACTCCCTGGTCAATCACCGCGCTCGTAAATGTCTTTCCGGCTCATCCGGATTGGTCATGTCCAAAGTGTTGCCACCGCAGATGAACCACCCACGGATAAAATCTCACCCACAATCCCCACGCTCGTGGGGAGCAACGATGTGTGGGGTCAAGACCTGACGACGTATAATACTTGGAGCGCAGCCACCCCTCCATTTCCCCTGCCATTCAATATCCGCAATTGCACAACGGAACATCCTGGATACATACACTATGGCCACAGACGACAAGCCAACCGGCGAATATCGCCAATACCTGCCCGATCTGAATCTCACGCGATTCCAGGTGATGTGCACCCAGGATGCGCATGAATACGCACACGAGTTCAAGACCAGGAAGCAGCCCCCATGGCTGCATGCACTTTACATGTATTGGTTGGAGCTGCTACAAGAGCCCTTCAAGGGTGTCACCACGGATGGTATCGCCTTGTGCCGAAGCTAAAGTCAAGAGGACAATGCTAACTTCGACCGTCCAGGCAAGGTCCGCCCCGATCTCTTCACATTGCAAGATGAAGATGTTCCAATTCAACAGATTGTGGATGCGACACAATCAATGCTAAGTCTGCTGGACGATAAGCAAAAAGAGGCCGTGAACTACCACATCGACTCCCCGCAATGGCGCACCTGGTCAAACCCGGAGTTCCTCCTCGCGCACAAGGGCGTGCGTCTGGATGAAGTCAATGCGCCAGTGCGCGATGCCGTTATGAACGTGCTAAAGACCACACTCTCGCCGGAAGGTTATGAAAAGGCCGTGAGTGCCATGCGCATCAACCACTTCCTCGGTGAGCTGGTCAAGTCACCACGCGTCATGAACGAATTCTCCTACAACTTCGTTCTCTTCGGTCAACCTTCTACAACCCGACCCTGGGGCTGGTCCTTCTACGGTCATCATCTGTGCTTGAACATCTTCCTTTATAGGGGCCAGATTGTCGCATCGCCCTGGTTCACCGGTGCCGAACCAAACGAAATCGACGCCGGTCCATATGTCGGCACCCGCATCATGCAAACGGAAGAGAAACTCGGCCTCCAGCTGATGCAGTCTCTCTCCGCCGAGCTGCAGTCCAAGGCTCGCGTCTTCGCCCTCATGAAAGATCCCGCTATGCCGCCGGGCCGTTGGAACAAGGATGACCAGCGTCACTTGTGCGGCGCGTATCGCGACAACCGCGAGGTCCCATACGAGGGCATTTTGGCCTCAACGTTCAGCGACGAGCAGAAGAGCCTTATGTACGGTATTTTCGAACAATATTTGCTCTACTTACCGGCCAAGTCACGCGCCTTGAAGATCGAGCAAATTCGTCGCTGGGAGGCGGAGACTTACTTCTGTTGGATTGGTGGTTATGGCAACGAAGATCCCTTCTACTACCGCATCCAAAGTCCTGTCATCCTGATCGAGTTTGATCACCACTCCGGCGTCTTCTTGAACAATGAAGAGCCGAAGAAGTTCCACATTCACACTCTGCTGCGAACACCAAATGCTGGTGATTATGGACAGGCGCTACGCGCTCAGGTCCCAGCTATCGAAGGCCTGAATGGGAAGGAAATTGTTTGGTAGGTGACTTCCGGCGAAGGAAAGTTTACCATGTATAAATTGCTGTGATGAATCTTGATGAAGCATTTTCCTTGCGATGAACGCGGGGTGTGGTTGATTTTGTGTTTTTTTCCCCCTCTATTTCTTTTTTTCTATATAGACCCGTGCTACTCGTGGTTTGATACCGGTCTGATTGTTACCTTTGAAGGTCTGCGCCACGGTCTACGAATATATGATTGAATCTCAATTTATCAAAAGTGATAAACAAACTTGAAGTCTTTAGACTAAAACTCCCCAAGTGGACACTTTAATTAGATACAGCTCCGCCAGTCACAACCTTAGAGCCCAGCCATTTGATTGAATTCGGTAGAAACAAGAGAAGATGGAGGTAGGGGTTATATGTAGTTCTCACACCAAGAATTAAAATAAGTATCAAATGATAAGCGATAAAGTTGATCAATACACCACCAAGGAAGACCATTATCATGAAATAGGAAAGGCGGGCAGAATGGGGAACAAGGGGGTATAACATAAATGAACAGGAATTTCAGGTCACAGCAGAGTTTACTCCCAGTGAATCTGTGATGCGGCGTATATATCTCATCATTGACAGGGAGTCACCTTCAAGCAGTCTTTGATCAAGTGACCCTCAGCTCATCATGGTCCGGGATCAATTCATAACCGCCCTCGGAGGGTAAGATATGTGCCGCGGCGATAATTGCGCCGGCACAGAAAAGGCCGGCGCACCAACTGACAGTGCAAAAGACCCAAGACTGGTCAAGCCGCCATCCAACAAAGAATCGATCTTCGTTATCGAATAGGTATGCCTACCCAGTCGAATCCATCAGTACTCTACCGAACCTGTAGCTTTATACGGGGGAATACATACCACTATTGACATGCTGGCCGCTTGGATCAGGGCAGATATTACAATCAAAATGCTGAGGATCCTCCAACCATTTTCACGGAGCCGCTTCCCGCCCCCGAGAATAATCATGTAGGTGACAATACTCATCCCCTCGAGAACAACAACGAAGGACATGAGGAATCCCACAGAGCGCCACATGGAACAGAAATATCGGTCGTCGCCATGGCAGTCATCTCGTTGTGGAAAGCTCTCGCAGGTATCGGTGAGGGAGGAGCAACGGCGGTGGAGGCCGTAAGAATAGTGGTGGGCGGGCTGGACCAGGCAGGGATGTTAGATCAGCTTCACTGGTTGATCGCACGTCTGAGAACGACCCAACTCACCTTTTCGCTATGATAGCTGATCCATCGAGGGATGACAATCGAGGATATGGTGAGCGCAAAAGCTGTACAGATGGTACTTGTCAGAGGCTCCGCCGGTTTATCCTTGGCGTTGCCGGCGCTTGAAGAGGGATAGGATAGGATAGGATGGGACGGGACAAGATATTGGCGCTGGAACTTACAGGCGATGAAAATGACCAGAGTTCCTGAGTAAACGATGGTTTTGGTAAAAAAGCCGGTGTAGTTCCGGTCGGTGCCTCGAGGCACCAGGTGGAAATCCATGGAGGTTGGAGGTTGAGTCAAGAGGAGGAAGTGCGATTGCGTAGGTGGGTTTCAAGGTGGGTGAGGTTGGCCCGTGCCACGGGCGAGCTCATCGACGTGTGGCTGAGGCGAGGGAGAAGATGTTGGTTGAGATTGTATTTGTGCAGTACTGTATAGTGTTGTCCTCCCCAGTGCTTGGAAGCCTAGAGTGGAGAGAAGTATGAACATGAAGAAGTGTCTCGAGGAAGTGGAGGTGCAACCTTGACTGCGACCCACACCTCCGTCACTCCCGTCAACCTCGTCCCACTCCCTCCATCACTCCCTCACTCCCCACCCACCCAAATCAAGGCAGCGGTCTATGCACCTGTCGATCTCTCCTCTTTTCAGGGACTTATGAAATGCAGTGTACTTGGAGGTTAGCTTTAGACTCATAGAGGATAGATAGGTGGAATAGAAATGGCTGTATAACCCCAGGGAATGTCCTTCATGTCTACATGTAAGCCAATATAACTACCCAGTTACTGATAACTAGTGAGAGCAACAAGGTTTGAGACCACTCTCCCTCTGTATTTGAATAGCTTTTCATGTGCGACGTGTTTGCGCATGATCGTAGAATCAGCTTGTGGCACCTTGGGTTGGTATTGAAATCCTATAGTATCAGATATCAGGTAACTAATGGGGTTTGAAACTCTTCCCCTGCTCTCTTCGCTACTAGCTACGTCAAGTTGTACCCTGATCAGTCCGAATAGCAGAGTTCGTAACAAGGAGAACCCCCGAAAGCAACAGAGGGTCTCTTGGAAAAGCCGTGATCATTAGAACTGAATCCAGAAAAATAGACTTAATATACATGAGGGGGACATGTGTCCGACACAAGAAAATAGAAAAATGGGGACAATTCAAAAAAAAAAAAAAGAAAACAGAGTGAGCACAAATATCTGCCACATGGTTTAGCATAAATACCTACTCAAGGAACCAATGTAGTAGCATCGAGGCACTACCTCAGGACGATAAAAGACAAAGGACAAACGCCAATTAGATCCATGCCAGGACCTTGCGCCGGATAAATTCATTGCACTTCAATCGATTCATTCCTCGCGCTTCTGCTTCTGCTGTAGCATCGCACGGAAATCGTCATTGCTCTTTTTAGGCATTCCACTCTCGCCGCTCTTGTCGTCAGGGGTAGTATCCATTTGGTCATTATTGGGTGGCGGCGGTGCGGCCATGGCCCGTCTCAGGCCCAGTCCTCCACGACGACCCGCGTGACCCCCACGAGCACCAGGTTGTTGGGGGCGCTTGATAGGTCCAGCAGGTTGGAGGCTGACCTTAGTCTTCTCTGATTTGATAGACGTGATTCGATCAGTCTTCTTCTCGGCTTTCAGTGCCATCAACTCCGCCACACCACCGACGTGAAGTGCCCGACCCGGGGCAATCTCTTTCCCTTCCAGTGCCAAAGCCGCCTTGCCGGCGTCTTGCACGTTGGTATATTCGACGATGGCACCTTGGTGGTCCGGCCTCAGGGAAATCTTGATTAACTCTCCGAAAGGCTCTACCATGGCCTGAACGCGTGCCTCATTGACAGTATCGGGAATGTTCATCAAAGCAAGTGTACGTTCGCGATGGTGACTAACAGTATGGCTATGCACAGCATTTGATCCATCGCCATTAACTTCCACAGATGGCGACCTGCCAACGCCAGAGATATAGGTATTCGTCATACGCTTGGCATGAGGAACACTTTTCGTCACCACGAGGGCGCGAGAGCCAAAAATCTCGTTGTTCATCGAGAGAGCAGCCTCGGCTTCCTCCTTGGTGGAGAAAATGACGAAGCAATATCCCATCTTTCGGCCAGTGTTATCCCGTGGCATGGACACCTTTTCAACCGTTCCAAATCGTAGAAAGAGTTCTTCGACATCATCCTCGTTCAGTTTGAAATGCAGATTCTTGCAATGAATCTCCCGGCCTTCTTCCGTAGGGCCGGAGCGAGATTGCTTGTTCATAGGATCCGAAATCTTCGCACTGAGCTTATAGCCCTTTTCAAGAACAGTATTGTCAAGTTCAGTGGCGTTAAGCGCGGCCGCAGGCGAGGAGAATTGAAGATAGCAAAATCGTCGACTGGTTTTAAACTTGAGCGAAGGAAGACGCACATCGACAATCTCACCATATTTGCTAAATAGTTGACGAATGGAATTTTCATCGGCGGTCGGGGGGAAGTTGGTAACCCACAAAGTCGAGCTTGACTCAAGCTGTACTTGGATGATATTGTCATTGAGGAGCTTCTGATCGCGGGCTAGGGCTCCCAGAGCGTCTTCTTTCGCCTCAAACTCGACGTGCGCAGTTGAGTTCTCCTCTTCGCCAGTCAAAATCTTCACGCTGTTGATGGTGCCATAATTCCTGAAGAACTGTCGAACCTGAAGCTCTGTCACCCCCCGCGGGAGATTTTTGGCCACAACTGTCGCGTTCTCGCGATCACGGCTGGGGGCTGGAGCGGAGGCCGTCTCTTCTGGAACCTGTTCGTCACCACGAGCTTTCTTATTTGTCGGTTCGACGTTGGCATCAATCTCATCCTCTTCGCGCTTTCTCTTTTCCGACGAGGACGCCTCGGCTTCAGCGGCCGCCTCCCATTGTTGTTGCTGCAAATTTTGAGCTGCCGCGGCTTCGCGAGCCTCGTTTTCTCTGCGGGCGTTGACAGCCCTCACGGCTTTTCGAGTCTCAATAACAGCAAGTTGAAGCTCGTCAGAATCTTCGTAGTCTTCGCAATGAGCAATGTAGGTTTGCACGATCTTCTCCGGCCAGTCGAGGTCTGTCCGTTTAATGGCCTGTTTCAGTACAGCAGTCGCATAGCTTGGGCTGGGAGTTCGTCTCGCTGCGTCGACAGTCGCTTCGCCAAGCACAAATTTCCTCCAGCAAATGAGTTCCCAGCCATAATAGACAAGCCAAAACTCGTAGCTATTGCCACGGCGTGGGATAAGGTCCTTGAACTTCTCTCTTGCGCTATCCCAGCTGCCGCTTTCGCTGAGATACCGAATATAGATGCGTTCCAAGCGGAAAAGCGGATCGCCTTGGTATGACTGACCATACTTCTTCTCGCCTAGCTCTTGCACACTTTCCATTGCGGATAGGATGCCGACTTGCGCAACGTCTAGATCCTCATCGGTCGAGTCTGAGAAGAAAGCACGTCGACGAAGATAGCTGCACCAAGTAGTGTGTACTTTCAAAACTTCCTCCATGCCTCCAGCATCGAGTAAACCTGTGCTGGTAGCCTTGTGCTTGATATTGGAGATTTTGGAGAACGATTGACCTTCCCGCTCTGAACTCAAAAGATATTGAGACCAAAGGTTACCGGACCAGGGGCAATGGCGTGTTGCACGATCCAGGGTTGCGATTGTAGTGGTAGAAGCATGGCCATGCATAGCTTGATCAATAAGAAACATGACATAGTCTTCCCACAGAGAAACATCCGTGGGAAAGCGCAAGACTGCTCGTTGGTAGACAGCATTGACAAGCTCGAAGTGGAATAGATGGAAGCCATTCCGCCGTCCAGCCACTGGACGCTTTCGGGCAAGTTCGGTATCGATGTACTCTGAGTACGCTGTCCATTCGAGAGTCTTATCACCAGACTTCTGAGCCTTTTTCAATTCAGACTCGGATTTCTCCCTTGTTTCATAAAGACCCTTGGCTTCCGAAGCAGCGGCGACTGTCTTGGCCATAATTTCTTCGTAGTTGGCGGGGCCATAATGCTTAGAAATGAAGCCAGAAAATTTCTGGAATGACTGGTCCCACTCGGCATGAGGGGTCTGCAGCCGGGTGTCCCACAGATTTTTGAGATTGTTGATTTTCCCAATTCGTTCTTGAGAATTGGAAGAAGCCCGGTCAATGTCGTTGTCAAGAACCTCCAGAAACCTATCCCATACGCCTTCAACATCGTTGATCATCCATTTGGTAGCTTCCGCAGCTCGTTGCCAGACGTCCAAGACCAATTGCCAGCTGAACACTTCGCGACCTATCATTCGATCTTCTTCGGTCCATTGGCCAGGCCCATGCTCATATGCCTCTTTGTATAAATGGAGCACCCAGTCACCATAGATTTTCCAGAGTTCGGTGCTTCCAAACTCCTCTTCGACTGATCGTTGACATAGCTCCATAACAGCAATACGCTCAGTTACTGTATGGGCCAGCAGAGTTTCGTCTGCGATCCATTCAGCCCAAAGATCTTGACCCATGGCGAAAAGCTTATCCATCTCCTCGCGAGCTATCCTCAGATCATTCAGCAGGTCGTAGCGACGCGGGTCGCCATGGATACCTGGGCGATTGGGGGGATAAACGTGGTTCACGAAGCCTGTGTGTAGGATACCGATGAATTTTACGTGCGCGTCATAGGTGTGCGGGTTTTCCTGTATGATATTGAATGCTTCTGTCGCCAGGCGCTGCGCGTCCGGGTCCAAAGATGTTTGTCCGTAACCCCTGCGCGCATTTTCACGAGGACCTTCCGACATGGCGATATCGAACGATGTGCGCGGGGTAGGGGTGTTGTGATTGATTGGGTTCACATGTGGATGGATGGTTGACGGGGACAGCTGACTCTCGTACGACTCGGTGCTGCGGAGCATGCTCGGGGCGTTTTGCCGTTGCGGCTGATGATGCTGCAATGCAGCTAAGTCGGCCAGTGTATCCATCCCCGGTGTCGATGCTTGTCTTAACTGCGGCGGCAATTCAGTCGTAGAGGGTGCACCATTGCCGGTAACTTTGGGGTTGGGGTTGGGGTTGGGCGCGGGCGGGGATGATTCGGGAATCCCAGTAGTCGGGACATAGACGTGCTGCGCTAAAGGCGAGGAGGTCTTTCCTTTGCGAGCGGGACCCGACCGAGCTCTTTGAATGACTTTATGGGGAGATGGCCCTGCAGCGGGGGTCGGTGCGTTATTCGACGTAGGACCGGGCCCAGGAGTCGAATTTCCAGACTTTGTATTCGAGTCCGGAGAAAGCAATGAATTGATGTCCATCTTGCAAAATCAGAGTCCGCGACTGGCGCTGGACAAGACAAGGAAGGGAAGAGTGACAAATGGCAAGAAAAAATCAAAGACCAGATGTCACGGATAGTGCTGGTACAGCAGAGATCCAGTTTAGACGGCGAGCACGATATTTCTCAACGTGACGTCCATTCCTCCATCGGCCAACACAAGCTTCTGATCTGATCCCGCCTCGTCGTACCGGTTTCCGGGGTCACTAATAGAGTTCGCGCGATACCGATGGGGATGAAGGATATCCAGTTTCGGGTTGCCGGATATCGAGGCGAGGCTGGTGAAGATGGTGAGTTGGAAATGGCGAAAAGGAAGGTGAAAGAGAGAGAGCGCGGGAGGAGGCCGAAGCTTCTTGGCCGATCCAGATACGGAATTCGACAGAGAGGAAATATCGGCGGGACGAGAAGAAAGGGATAGAAGCCACAGGCTAGAGTGGCCTGGGAATCTAGGTGGGGGGGGGAGAGGAGGATGAAGGAGGGAGGGTAAAAGGTGCCGGTGAAGGACAGGAGGAGAGGAAGAGAGAGAGCACTGAAGGCCCTGAAAGAGGAAGACTAGTGGACCTTCGCAGGTGGAGATGACGGTGAAGGAAGAGCGTGACGAGGAGGGGGGGGAGGAAAAGAGGAAATTCAGTGGGAAGTAGCAACGGTCTAAGCTCCTTAAATTGAATAGAAATTACGCATCATTTGTCTTTGAGTCTCTATTACTCTCTACAGCCAAATCTTATACGTTCGCGGGGGGGAGAGAAGAGGAAGCACCTGCAGTTGTTCACTGCCACTGATCGATCACGTCGCGCCTGCAGGGCCCACTTTGTAGCCTCAGGCAACTACCACTGGTGGCAGACACCACTCCCGCAATCCAAGCAAGTTCGACCTTTTTTCCCGCATCGTCCTCTACTCCAGCCAGATCAACAACACTCCACTCTGTGCCAAAATGGGTGCTGTCTATCCTTCTGGACAGTTAGTCCGGGCAGGTGAGTTCCTGTCATAACTGATAGCCATTGCTATTGAAATAAATCTATCCCATACTGACCATTCAAATCAAGCCGCCCGGAATCGTGTCTCGTGCGTCCCCCGACGGACATTGACCTCAACAACTGTTTGCCGCGCCAACAATGACGCTGGTAATACAACCCCTCCTCCCGGCGAAAAGAAGAAGAAGAAGTCTTCCCTGCTCTCCTCCGTGAAGAATTGGGTTCTTGGCGACAAACCTAAGGCCGCCCGTACTCCATCCGCTCCCAAGCGGGAGGAAGCTGGTTTAGGTGCGAACTCGATTTTCGCCGACGACGTTAAAGCAACATCGGGTCCCACGCCCAGCCGGAAGAAGGAACAGATTCAACAGCGGGACTCCGAGCAGGCCGACGTTCCATTAGAACAGCGGGACAAGAAACGCCTCCAACTTGCTCTGAACCCGAACCCCCCGAGCTCAACTTCGGTGGGAAAAGAAGATGGTCAACCGGGAAATCAAAAAGGGCGGTCGAATTTCCAGGAAAGTGCAGATTGCGCGTACAGAGCGTGAATCTCTCTCGAAGTCACACTGGTTCAAGACCTCGGTCAAGAAACTGGGCCCCCTGGCTCGCCAAATCTCTGGCAAGAGCCTCGATGAGGCCATCCTGCAGATGCGTTTCAGCAAGAAGAAGGCCGCTCAGGATGTCCTTGGTCATCTGGAACACGCGAAGAACGTCGCCATGGTCCGTGCCGGCATGGGCCTGTCGGCCACCGAGGAGTCCGACAAAAAGCCTACCACCGTCACCCTGAAGTCTGGCGAGCGCAAGGAGATTACCGACCCTACGAATATCTATATCCAACAAGCCTGGGTCAACCGTGGCCCTTACGGATTTGGTATGGACCACCGTGCCCGTGGTCAAATCAACCGCCTCCGTCCTCCGGCCACTGGTATCACCGTTGTACTGAAGGAAGAGAAGACCCTCATCCGCGAGTGGCAGGAGCGTGAAGCTGATGCATTGCGGAAGCGAACAGCCAAGCTCTGGACCCAGCTTCCCGATCGGAAGATTTCTGCTCAAAACCAATGGTACAGCTGGTAATTGGCTGAGCATCGATTCCCCATTGGCGTTTTCCGTTCCGTTGCGTTGTATTATTTACATCCGTGTGCCCGTCTTAGCTGGAACCGGTTTTTGTTGTTTCTGTTGCCCATTGGCTAGGGTGTGAAGAGGATTTTTTTTGGCATTTTCCAGTAGAGAAAGCCGGGCTTGTCAGCCCATATACAATATGATCAATACCATTCTATGGAAATCTTCATCAGACCTGATACTATTCACTATATCTCCCGCCATGTACCAATACTATATACCATATCCCGTATCATCATTGAATTAGGGAACGATTTCCCTCCACCTTCACGATGACAGGGATAACACCCCCGGTCTGCAAAGGAAATCTCCGATGGCCAACCACTTCCAAGATACTCGTAATGGCCCCGGAATGCGCTGTCAGGGAGAGAAAAACATTATTATCCCTAGCAAAGATATCACACAACAATTCGAACAGACGCTTATTGCGGTCTTCGTCGGACTCGCGCGTCTTTGGGTCCCACAGCAGATCCTCTTCTGTGAAATCCGCTTCGAATTGATACTGCGGAAACTCGGACGCAATTGTAGAAGCCGGAGAGCGGCGGTCACAAGTGTGCTCACCCATAGTCTCGCGTAGGAACTGTATTCCAATCAGATTCGTCTTCACTTTATAGCTCATTGTAAATTGACATATGCAACTTACCTCCTTGATGACTGGTCGAAAAGGCTTAGTGAGCGGCATATCCAATCCGTCAAATGTAACCTGGGCAGTTGCGCAGCATCGGATCAACGGGCTCACATAGTATGATTCCGGGATCGGAATACTATGTTCGAGTTGTTCTTCCCAGGCTGCGCGTGCAGCTTTAGCTTGGGAGATACCTACGTCTGTCAGACGGGCATCAGCCCAAGTACCAAATTCGTCGCCGTCGAGCAGCGACCAGTACTCCTGTAAATTGAATGAGCCATCTGAGTTCTTCAAATACAATATTCATTTTCGTGAAAGACGTACGTCCCATGCTTTGGTGCCATATCGCTTCTCGGCAACATTGTGGACGCCTTCACCGTGTCGGCCCAGGAAGAGGACTTTATATTGGGTATTTGGCTCCGCTTGGCTATTCAGTCGCTGGATCTCCTTGCTGAATTTTTGCCATTGGCTATATTTATTGGAATTCTCGGTCTCCGAACCATACACGCGGTGAATGAGACCAAAGTTCGATTTTGCCTGGGATGAGAATGAGATGGATTTGACCTAGCCCTCCCCGTACTTGTACTTACATAGTCGAATGTATCCGGGTCAGTGGATGGGTCATCCTGAAGAAAGTACCCAGCCAACGTAGATAATTTGAAAGATGTTGCTTTTCGCATGGTGTAGTATTAGTAGCGAAGTTTCGAAGAGCTGGTTGGTATACCCCTGTAGACAGGATAATGTCTGCCAGGTGGGGCTTTCTTCTCAGGCTCAGGCTCAGTGACTAATCAGCGCTTAGTGAGTGATCACTCAATATCACTTATTAGTTGACTACTATCTGATGTTTTCTGTTTAATATTTGTCTTCGATCAAATTAATAGCTTTCCTTAAACTACTTCCACTTCCACCTAATTCAAGGCAGATTGGGTTTATTGAGTTCCAGAGTTGCTTTTTAGGAGGATTGGTTTCGGTTTCGGCTAATTAGTGGCCTACTGCATGTATTTCACAGGCTTCAGCTACACAGAGCTTACTTTAAATTGATAATAAAGCTTTCGATCACCATTTAATTTAAGTGGTACTACCACTGAATGTAAGCATTATTAAAGTTGTCATGAACTTTGGGAGTCACCAGTAAACTTGAAGACTCATTATGAGGTAACCTAAGCGAGACTACCTATAGATGGGCATTTAACTTGTTAATTCGCCTTTAGGGAAAACTCAAAGCCTCTGGTTTTTTTGACTATCTTTCCATTTGGAATCTCTATAGTTACGATGCCAGCACAACAAGCCAACCACAGGAGCCGAGGCGATGATGCACAGGATGATCGTCGCAGTTTTCTTATGAACCTGCCTCTATCCATCAAGATGTACACATATTATGGTGAGCCACAATTCTTCGACATACTCGACGCCGAATACGCTCTTTTGAACTCTTCAGGCACCGGAAGCGAGTTTCTGCTTTTTCACGCGAGTGAAAAGACCATCAATACTATCATGCACCCCCAAAGCAGCCGCTGCATTGCCAAGTTCTGTTCATCGTTTGATACCCAAGAGCAGCTTCTACTCGTCAAAATTCCTTGCTCGCTTCATACTGCGGCTTGCGCTGAGATGCATGATATGATCAAGAAGAGCCTTGTACCTATGGGTTTATCCAGCGCTGTCCAAGGATATCCTCGCGCGATTGTTAGGTCAAGCCCCATAGATACCCGGGGAAAGCAGCCTGATTATTGCTGGGGACCAAAGAACAAACCTCCAGATCCTCTAAGCACGCCATCTGTCACCTTCGAAGTTGCATACTCGGAATCGGATTCCAAGCTCACTTCCGATGCACGATTCTGGCTGAGCCCTGGCCATGGCAATGCCAATATGTGCCTCACACTTCAAATCAATCGGTCGAGGCCAGAGATCAAAATTAAGCAGTGGCGAAAGTCCAGTAAAGCCAGAATCAAATGCTCTCAAATTATCTGGATTACTAAAAAAGGACAAACGCTGGATTTCAGTGGGCATCCACTGACGATTCCATTCGAAGGTCTATTCCGTCGCAAGTCAAGTCGCCCAGAGGAGGGAGACCTCGTTATTTCAGAATCTCGTTTGAAGGAGATGGCTATAATGATTTGGCAAAAGCAGGGCTGGTAGCTGTTATGTTGATTTTTTGCGTATTATTAGCTTTGCTTTTCTTAGGAATTCTAAAATATTTCGGTGCTTTTGCTCTCGCTCCACATCCTCCCATACCATCATACTTTAGAATGCGGGAGCTCTTCATAATCTGTTCATCTGAGAACGGTTATTAATTCCACCACTAATCTGGCCAAACGATTGTCTACGATTTCTAAGTGGAATGTGAATCCAAAATCTGATAGGATCATGACTGCTTTTGTTTATTGTAATCCGTATATATGTGACCGAGATTCTAAAGCGATTATCGTCAATTCCTTCTGGGCTCTCCAGAAACCCATCTTCCTCCAACCTTCGAACTCTAGCCTAATGCAAACGCAATGTGACCATCATGATCTCTCTGCGAGGCTAGGCTATCCTTATCTATGACAAGATAACCACATGATTATCATGCTCCAACCTCACAGGATGTAGGCGAAAATGCTGCAAATTGCTTGTCCTAAAGCTGATACAGCTGGAGGCCTTTCTTTGCAGACATCATGTGGGTGCCACAGAATGACAGACAGTTGAACATCAATTGTTCAGACCGAGATGCAAATGCTGGCGACACCGCCGAAAACAAGGCACCAGAGATTGTCGAGACAACGCTTGAAAATAACCCGCCAAGTTGACTGGTAATCGAGCGAACAGTTTGCCCAGTTGGAATAGCTTGAGGTGCGATTCCATGAGTAGGCGATAGTGAGCGGGACGAGCGTTGGGCCAGGCTTTGCTTTGGTCCATGATTTGGCACTGTAGATATGATCTCCAGCGACTGGTTGACTCCTTGGGGAGTTGGCTTGTGGCTGGGTCTTGAGATGGCCAGAGTATTGGAATTGCAGAGCCCTTGGGCGTACTGCTTTTGGTCCGAGCGGATGCGGGTGCGGCCTGGCTCGGAGGTCTCCAGAGGACGTGAAGGCATTCCAGTGTTGGAGGGCCGAACTTGCAGAATTGCTTTGAGTGAATCGCCTGTACCCGAGCTTGTCGTTGGCGAAACATTTCTGTTGTTTCTGTCCTTTGAAAGTACATTCGCAGGGCCAAGGGTGCGCAAACGCGCTGCCGACTCGCGGCTTGCCTTGACAGATTGAAGAGCACTTGGCGGTCGGCACGAATTCGCGTGACCTGGTGCTCTGTTGCATTTTCCGGTAGTCTGGTTTACATGTAGGACACCAGAGGAGTTGTCCTGTGAGTTGTGACCCGGTACACTGCTGCGTCGTTTGCCAATTGGCAACAAAACAGAAGTAGTGTACTGGCGGTCCTGACCCGCAGTATCGCTTTGCTTCGTTGCCTTGACAGTCGGCGAAACAACAAAGGTGTTGTTTTGCCGGTCGTGGCCTGGGACATTGCTTTGTCTCTTGGCCCGAACAGTTGGCAAAATACCAGACGTGTTTCGATCTTGGCCTGGAACATCGCTCTGCTTCGATGTCCTGACAGTCGACCAAGTAAAAGAAGTGTTGTGTAGTCGATCTGGAGCCGCAACATCGCTTTGCTTTGTAGCCTTGACGGCGGGCAAAACACCACACGGGTTTCGATCGTGGCCTAGGACATCGCTTCGTTTTGTTGTCCTGACAGTGGGGAAAACAGCGCATAGGCCCCGTGATGGATCGTGTTCCGGGGAACTGCTGATTGATCTCTTGATCATCTTGGCTGCGAGGCGTGGAGCCAGTGAAGGATCGTGTCCGGGTACACCGGATTGGCGCGTATCTGGAAGAACTGGAGCATGAAGCATTGGTTGATGCGCCCGTTCTTTGACATTGGTGGTCAGTGGAACGTCGCTGACTCCAGCACGAGCGGCGGCCTTTTCCAGGCAATTGCACTAGTCATGAATCAGCATTCTCGTTTCTGAAATGATGTGGGATAAAGGGGAATTCATGCTTACCCTCTTATGCTGCTTCTTGTGCTTCTCACAAGCACCATATTTCCGAGCCTTGATGTAGTTCTCTTTCTGCGCCTGAGAGCGAGGTTTCTGCTTCTTTGGCAGGTTGGTAGTCGCATTCATGTTCAGGTCAAGAACCATTTCAAGGCTTCCAGTGCCAGCGCTAGAGGCGGAGGCGGAGACAGGCGTATTCGCAGGGCTTTCAAAGCTTGCAGGCTGAGGAGAAATGCTCCCACGCATGCAATCCGACCAGCTTGGGGAAGAGAAGCTGGTATTCGAATCGGAAGACATGTCCAGATCGCGGGCGGTGGCATCGCACAATCGCTGGAGGTGCAATTCAATGGCGGCTTCGCGGCGCTTTTCTTTGATAGAAGTGGTACGAGGGTCAGCGGCGGCCTGCGTCTCGACCATCTGGCGGAAGGAAAACCCATTGTCGTAGGGCTGGTAAGCATTGAACATCTCATCGTCGAAGATCGGAGTATCCGGCATCATTCCGAAGACGGGGGACTGGTCGGCCAGGAATTGATCATTGGAGGTTCCGTAGTTGATCATGTCAGGGAAAGCGGATTGAGACAAGTCCGGCAGGTCATTTCCGAGCGTTTCAGCATCGTATGGAAGACTCATGTCGGGCGAGACGGTGGCAGAGGCGGAATAGTCGTCGCCATAAGCCACCGGGAGGTCGAGGAATTGCTCGAAATCTACCCAGTCATCAGACTGAGTTTGAGCATCTGTGAAGAATAGCTGATCTCCGAGAGACGCCATGATGTCGGAATTGGAGGGGTGGGTATCGTTATCGTTGACGTGGAGGGGGGGTTTGAAGAGTTGGGTGGGTATACAGGAATGTACACTGTAACCGTTCAGGGAATTAATGAAAGACTAGGCGGCCCCGGGGCTCAAGGCCGTGAATCCTAATTGTCAAATCGAAAGCCTGAGGGACTCCGAAAGGAAAAGGAAAAGAAAGAGAACCTCAGGCTGGCGGTGCTGGAGATTATAATGTCCAGCAGCACCAGCCTGAAGCCTGGGCCGGAGGGGCGCTTTCCCTCTTCAGGGTCCCCGACTTCCCACTAGTCCTGATTGGGAGCCCGACGCGGAGTCTAAGCCCCAGCGATGAGTCAAGGGCAAACACGAGGAAGCGCACAGGGCTGCTTTTGTTCCCTCTGGTTGGTCTGCTAGGGTCGACTGGGGTCGACTGGGGTCTCAAAGTGGCTCATCCCCAGTCATTGGATTGCAATTATGCTACATTGATTTTGCTTATGACGATCTATCCATTGAATTTCTTTTTTTTCCCTTCTTTTTTTGGTCCCTGCCTGCCCCACTCCGTTTGCCCTACAGTCCAGTATGGTAGTACTCTGTACTAGATATGCACATACTCGTACTCGCCAGAGACAGGATTAAGTTATACACCATCATTCAAGGTTCTCTTCTGACGCCATCCCCAGCCTTGGCATTGGCATGTGGTGTGGTGCGGTGTACCCCAGGGCCCGTATATATCAAGTGGGCGTTTATGCATTTATACTACTTGCTTTTCAAAATGACAAGCAGCTCTACAAAATGATTCAACTAGTCACGGTACCACTCTAATTGAGATTCCCAGAGTTCTACATACTTTACGCTATCCACAGATGAAGATAACATCCCCGCAGTGCTTGCATACAGTGATCAGAACCTTAACTTCCAGGTCTTTGCGTAGCTTTTTCTCTCGGGTTCTAATCTTGATAGGTATATACTGACAAGACACGGAATGTCTGTCACTCACTGCAGGGGTTCTACTTAATATTGGAACAATGGCGGACTCAGTCAATGTGCGACATGGGCCGGTCGAACGGGCTCATCCCGTCAACATGAAGTATTCTAGGCACTGGAAGGTAGTACATGATACTACCAGTAGCACGTGTACATGGATCCAGTTCAATCTACAGGGTTTCAGGGCATTTCCAAGGTTGTTGGCAATGGTCTTACAACGAGTCCGCCTGGAGTAGACCCCGAGTGGTCGGGTTATATGCGAGATATATATATAGTTCATGATAACACATCTACTGTCCTAGGCCGGCCCCACTACCGTGACTAGTGTCAATCAATGGATCCGAGGGTCAATAACAGAAATCTCCATAGAAAGCTTGGTAGCATGCTAGCCATTGTTAAGCTCAGACTAGTCTATGCAGCCAACGCCTTCTAAGCCTGAGGTTGTGGGGACTCGGAGTGATGACTGGAGAAGAAGAGAAAGTACCGCACGGCTTCTCACAACGTGGAGCTGAGCTACTCACTCAGATCCGTACTAATATCGCATGGTTTTTAGGGTAATCTATTTCTAGGGGCCTGGGGGCCTGGGAGTGACATTTGCACAAAAGGACTCTAGCCAGCTGTGCTGCGAGGGTCCTTCCATTGGCATGACTCAGGTCAAGGCAACACTGACTCCGACGAGAAACTATTCAATTGTGATCAAGGCCACTACGCTCCTCGCCATTAACTAGGTATTACTGTCCCTTCAGTATCAGCAGGGAACTCAGTATAAACTACCACTGGGATCGCCACGGCCAAGAAGAATATCGACACCTAGTTAATCAGGCGTCAATCGGAGATAATACCCCAGACGCGTCGGGGTAAACAAACGGACCCGCCGGGTTAGGAGCTTGGGCCACCGGAGCCATGCGACCGAGCAAATCCCATTCCAGAAACCATGTCGGGATGAGGATAGCTAAAGCGTGCGAAATTAGCGACACCTGACTAGGAAGAACCGATTTTAGGGAAATTTTATTGATTTGATTAGACTAGAATACGGCAAGCCGACCTCGCATCGGAATTCCTGCAAGTTGTGGCACCGGCCATCCTGCTTAGCAGTCGTCAACGAAAATTGAGGATAATTTGACAACAATAGGATGGAGCCCGACGTTCCGGAAGACATTTCCCATTAAACGATAACCTCCCCATCCTTCCCGGGGGGTGTTCAAAAAAAAGCAGAAAGAAACCACCGTAGAACCGTTCCGTAAAGCCCTTAAGTGATGCAGAAACGACGAGAACCAGAGATCAGCGAAAAAGAGGTAAAGACACAAACGCCGTGAACCGCGCAATTGGTGATATTGCGGCTAGGCGCTTAAGAGGACTCCTCCTC